CTTTCCCAGCACTTATACAATGGAAGGAATTATAATCCACCTATTTGTTCTCCTATATATCCGTGCAGGCAACACAACATAAACCGGTGAAAAAACACTCACCTCGCACGTCCCCCTGCCTGCAATCCCGAAACGCCGCCATCGCTCCAGGCTCCAGCCTCCGCCGTTCTACATCTTGCCCCTCTCCAACCTCAGAGACCTCCGTCACCGCCGCCATCTCGGAACCCCAGTTCAGGGCAGGACTCAGAGAGGGTGTGGCTGTGGACGACGCTGCCGCCGTCGCAGAACCCTAGGGCAGGGCGTGGTCGCGTTGCGGGCAGCGCGAGCGGCCGTGCGTCTCCCCCGTCAGGCTGTCCTCGGCAGGAACTCGGGACCTCCTCCTGACAGAGCTAAGGCCCTCCGAGGTCCAAGTCGCTGTGCGGCGTGCACAGTAATCTCCCCGGCCTACTCTGTCTTCACGTCAATGCTCATGTGCTCCGACCCTCCCCGACCCCTCCCAGCAAGCAGCAGAGTCTCTCGGGTTCGAGCTCCACCGGGCCGCCGGCGGCGGCGTCCATGTTCGTTGGGCGGAGCACAACGCTAGGTTTGAAATTCACCATGATGCTACTGATGAGGCTCTCCTTCTCCTTTGTTTCGTCTGGGTTTTTTCGTCCCCCCTCCCACCACCCCATCTCATCTGGGTTTGAAATCAATAAGAGCAGCACAAAGTCTAGGTCCCTGTCTCGGTGGCAGACGGAAGGAGAAGAATGATTGATATGTATGAGAATATTAATATTGAACTCTAAAGTTAATGTGGCCCCGTTGCAACGCACGGGCGTTCTTCTAGTTAGAAGTAGAGAAACTGACTCAGACGAGTTCGGCCAAACCAAGGCACGGAGGCCATACTAGTTTCTAAAAGAAACGACATTGTCGAAGCGGTATATACGCTGTAAAGTTGCAGAGATAGAATTTTTTACCTTGCACCTCATGTTATTTCTACAAATACATCTTAAAGGTATTACTCCCATCTTATCAAAAGTTACAACTCGCTTATCACACTTGTGTAAAGATTCACATTCATAATTTTTTGCTTGACGTGTCGTAAGTGTTACATGGTATTGTCTTGAGCATTCCAAGCGGCAACACTTCATGTTTGTAGTTTCGAAGACATTTCATGTTTGTTCGTATTATTATAGTTTTTCATGTTTTTGTTAATTGAATTCCATGTGTTTTGATGGAGTAGACTTGCATTTGTACATAAAAAATAGACCTTAAATGTTCGCCCCGGCTAATTTCAGTTCCTGGATCTGCCACTATCCTGCACCAGCCGACATACCCAACGACCTCACGAGCCCGCAAGTATTACACCCCCATTTCTCACTCAACGGCTCCCCCCAATAGTTCTTTTCATATGTGCTTTAGTTGCAACAATTGAATTGCCATTTGATCTACGTAATGCTTGGCACTCCATATAAACTGATTTTATGTAGTTTTCTCTTGACCAACCAGTGCATGAGGATGCCAGCAAAATGAGGAATATGTATAAAGACTATTTGAATATTAATTTTTGGGGGGAGGGGTCTAATGATAGTTCACTTTCCTGGTTTGCAGAGCAGAAAATGTTCTAAACAAAATTCATATGGTGCAAATTATCTGTGTTGCATCCTTCTGCCACCTTGAGGGTGCTTTTCGTCAGAGGAAACAAGAGTTAGGTTTGCTATCATGGAGTTATCTATCAGCCTTATTTTTTTTTACTACACTTGGCCTTACTAATACTATTATTTATCTGGAAGCTAATTAGTCCTAATAAGGCTAAATGGCTCATATCTAATCAAAGCTTCAACCTAAGATATAGTAGGATTTGGGCCTAAATTACAAGTTGGAAGAGACTCAAACTCTAAATAGACTGCTCAAGACCATTGGGCATTGATCGGCGAGTAATGGCACAATATGTAGATATAAAGAATGCTAAAAAGAGCTCTGCCATCTTCTATGTAAAAATTGGTGAAGTTCTTATATTTTACCTAAGTTCCTATTTTCTTATGTTTGGTGCCTTCAAATTTTCCACCTATCTGTTGTTGGTTAGGTCAGACCATATGCTTCTCATGGCATGCCCACTCGAAATCCCTCCAATCCAAATCAAATTACCACATATGCTCATTATTTTGCCAAATCCATTTTTATACTTTGTGACCCGTTTAAATTTTTTCATATGGGTCATAGGTACTGATTGAAGTACTACTTGTTATTTCAAAAAAAAACATGTGTGAATCATCTTAATTTGACATATCTTAGGGTTACTTAGTTCATATTTCAGTTTTGTAACTATTGCCGATGTGTATTTATAGTAATACCTATCATTTTATTGTCAAAATGGACGGGCATGGCAACGCACGCCATCATGATCTAGTGATTACTTATAACAAGACTTCTTCCATGTCCTCAGGAACAAATGTAACTACTCACAAAGCATATTCATGTTCATAATTAGAGGAGTATTAATAAGCATTAAGGATCTGAACATATGATCTTCCACCGAATAAACCAACTAGCATCAACTACAAGGAGTAATCAACACTACTAGCAAACCACATGTACCAATCTAAGGTTTTGAGACAAAGACCGGATATAAGAGATGAACTAGAGTTTGAGAGGATATGGTGCTAGTGAAGATGTTGATGGAGATTGAACCCCTCTCGATGAGAGGATCCATGGTGATGGCGATGGCGATGATTTCCCCCTCCCGGAGGGATGTTTCCCCGGCAGAACAGCACTGCTGGAGCCCTAGATTGGCCTTGCCTAGGTTCTGCCTCGAGACGGCGACGCTTCGTCCTGAAAACTTCTCTCTGATTTTTTCCAGGATAAAAGACACCATATGGCAGAAGATGGACGTCGGGGGCCTGCTAGGGGGCCCACGAGGCAGGGGGCGTGCGCCCTGGGGGGTAGGGCGCGCCCTCCACCCTCGTGGCTGACTGGTGGCCCCCCTCTGGTGCTTTGTTCGCCCAATATTTTAAATATATTTCAAAACTGATCTCCGTGAAGTTTCAGGACTTTTGGAGTTGTGCAGAATAGGTCTCTAATATTTGCTCATTTTCCAGTTCAGAATTCCAACTGCCGGCATTCTCCCTCTTCATGTAAACCTTATAAAATAAGAGAGAAAAGCCATAAGTATCGTGATATAACGTGTAATAACAGTCCATAATGCAATAAATATTGATATAAAAACATGATGCAAAATGGGCGTATCAAGGACATGCTCGGGTGTTGAAGAGAAGTCAATGGGTGTTTGAGTTATGCTTTTACATACGCTATTTTTATCTACTGCAGCACGAGACGGAAGTTGGTGTGTGTGCGCAATGTTTTTGGGTCTTTTTCTTGTAACAAATTCTTTACATGTTGCCCGCCTGAGCTTTTTATGTTCTTAAAACAAAAAGAATCTTTATTTCGCTTACAAAAAATAGAAAATATTTTTTACTTAAATTATCTATGTTGCAACATTTTATCATGATTTTATTATATTAAATAGTGATTCATTTCATATGCACAAAATATGCTGCTTCTGCTTATTTGGAGTGTTGCGGTCATTTTTTTTTTGCAAAATTTGTTGAACAAAGAAAAAGTTGTATGTTGCATAGGTACAAAAAATGCATCAGACTTTAGTAGGATCGTTTGATGAAAACCATTTGGAAACAATGTAAATTGTCAATGATGTGAATACAATTGCAACCAATTATAAGAGGGGAGCTCGCCTAGTGGCACACTTGTATGTTAGTTGAGGCATCTTGAAGATTTTAAAAAATAGAAAAAAAATTGTGGGATACAACGTAAACAACCACTATAAGGGTTATGTGTAACATTTTCCCTAATTTCATGTGCAAGTTGGCTCATACTTCAGTCTAGGGA